TATCACGAGCAATAATTATCACAAGCAAAAAAAATCAACCTTAGTAGTGGTACGTCGTGAAGACTTGGCATTAATCTTAAAGAAAACGTTGCGTCTGGCCCATAAGCGCGCAATGATATTGGCGTAAAAGAACCAGATAGCCACCAGAGGCAGCATATAGGAGAGTGTGAATGAATAGGTTGTGAAGATGCGGGTCGAGAAGGTGATCTCGTTGATCATATCCGTATCATTCATGCGGTTATCCACATCATCACTCCAGATCAACATACATGCACATCTGCTATCATTACTACCTTAATTTCACTATTTTCATTACATTTTCATTACTATTATTATTACTATTATCATTAAAACTGCCGTTACTACTCGTGTGCGTGTGATTATAACGAGATGAATGCCACTAACCGTCTTCATAAATCTTGATCAGTTTAGCGAATTTCAATAAAGGAACCATTTCAATGGTGACAGCAAGCCATGACGCTAGCGATATAATGAACGCAAAACGCGGAGTCCGCCATCTGACAAGACAACAAACATTCATTCAACTGATCAATCAGTTCAATTGCAAAACAACAAGCATAATCAGCACTAACTTGGTCGACTGCACCGCGTAGCACACCGCCAGATATCTATCCAAACTTAAAACACCCATGAAAATCGCTCGTGCGAACTGGTTTATCTTCAAATAAAAACTGCCGTTATAATATATCTCTCTGCAATAGTGCTGCTGCTGCTGCTGCCTGCTACGCTTATTGCATCAATCAGTTCAAAAGACCACCCACCCAAATAAATGCTGGCCAATATATTTGATTTATGAAACGAACGATGATCTAATTAATTAATTAATTACTCCATTCTCACTGATAAACGCCTTACACATCGCTTGACCAAATATCCACTCGGATGTGATCGTTTGTATTGAAACAATCGGTACACCACACAGAAATAACAGATCAGCTAGAGCCAAATTAAAGATGAACACATTCGAGACTGTACGCATCTCTCTGCAAACCACAACTCTTATCATATCATATCATATCATATCACCACCATCAGCTACTATCACCACCACCCACCTGTATTTCATTATCACGTACAGAACGAGAATATTGCCCGGTACACCGACGACGGCTGCCGTGCACCATGCTAGATTGCTGATCAATTTCGCCTGAACAACACCCATCATTATATTCCTCCTACAATATGTCTGCGCTGCCTGCGTTTTCATTTACTAAAGTGAAATGAATCTTCATTTCACTTTAGCAGATGAATTGTTTTTTTTTTCATCCAAAATTCTTCATCCAAATCTAAATCCTTTTCACATCTTAATGATTATCCATCTATGTTCACGTCAATTCTAGATTATGATTGATCACCATCTCCATTACTAAGATGATTTCTAGATGTTAATCACTGTAATCGTGCTATTAATAAGTGCTAAGCGAACTTCATCGGAACAAGTCACCTTTTATATCTATCTGCCTGCTTACGGGATAAAGCAGACAACGTTGAATGCAAAAAAAGGATGCAAATGCAAAAGGATCATATGATAAGATGTAACATTTAATAATGAACACATTAAAACGCACATAAAATAAAATAACAGCTTCTTGTGAACGAATCTCATCGTAGTCCTCATAGTCGAATGGATAGTAGTCACTTTCGTTCATATAAATTGACGATTTGAAAACGTTTCTTTTTTTTGTTAAATAACAATTACTGCAAATTCAATTAAGAAATTACTGGATCGATGAGCAAATAAATCATCAATAAACTCATTACCAAACAATATCTATCAATTAACACAAATATTCTTCTAATCATTAATTAGATTAATTAATTAATTCTATCCTCCAAATTATTGAAATTAGATCATTACAATTAATATTCTAATATCCTCCAAATGATCCAGGTAATTCGCCTGATCAATTCAACTTACTTTTGCTATATGCAATCGTTTTGCTGAAGCACTCACAAACTCATAAAATTAAGAACATTTTAACAAATTTACATAACACTACGAATACAACCACAACCATGCAAACAATAAATAATTTGAATCACTTTTGAATGAGACCACTTGAAAAATATAATAATAATAATAATAATAATAGTAATAATAATGGTGGCCTTATATCAACAATAGAAATAATAGCAACTGCAATAATAAACATATTAAAAGTAATAATAATAGTAATAATGCATACATATAATAATAATAATAATAATAATAATAATAATAATAATAATAATAATCGCAAACAAAAAACGATAACAAAACAAATAATGATACTATCGGCATTATCACTATTATCACCACCCTTATCATTATTATCACCACCCTTATCATTATTATCACCACCGTTATCACTATTATCACCACCGTTATCACTATTATCACGAGCAATAATTATCACAAGCAAAAAAAATCAACCTTAGTAGTGGTACGTCGTGAAGACTTGGCATTAATCTTAAAGAAAACGTTGCGTCTGGCCCATAAGCGCGCAATGATATTGGCGTAAAAGAACCAGATAGCCACCAGAGGCAGCATATAGGAGAGTGTGAATGAATAGGTTGTGAAGATGCGGGTCGAGAAGGTGATCTCGTTGATCATATCCGTATCATTCATGCGGTTATCCACATCATCACTCCAGATCAACATACATGCACATCTGCTATCATTACTACCTTAATTTCACTATTTTCATTACATTTTCATTACTATTATTATCATTATCATTACTATTATTATTATTAT